TCTTGAAGTGTAAGACCTTGGTATAACAAGTATCGAAATTATAGGGTGACACAAAAAGTGCCACCCACATAATGTTGCTTTACTTTTTTGTCTGCATAAATTCCGATTTAAAAAACTATACTCCACAAGAAGTTCCAGATAAGTAGCTCAACTAAATGCACTTTTATTAGCATTACAACATGCAACGTGCAAATAAAAAAGTTATTCAACAAGTTATTCCACCTTTTTGTGGCACCTTGTAGTTAAGTGATAAAATGATAAATGATAGTGATAAAAGTATAATGATAAAATGTCGCGAGATGATGACCAGACAAATTAACATTTGACTTTTGATGCTACATCCATTGATTTCTAGACCAGGAATTTATGATATGACAATAAAAACAATAACCCGTTTTCTGTGTGCTCCTAAATTGTAACATATTCAGATGACCCCAAACGTAACGAACTGTCCTACTGATAATTATTTCATTTCGTTCACAACCATCATTCATATTTTCATTCATTTCGTCTAAGTTACAGATGGACCGATTAAGGAACATACAAATTAAATGTAAATTTTGCAATACCTAGCCGAATACGTGTTAATACATAGAATAAAAACGTTTTTCTTTAAAGAGTTCATGATTTCCGGGAAATGTACATTTAACTTAAGAAGCCCAAATCCGAGATGCACAAGACTTGCATGATACCCCCATTTCTTGTGTTATTCAGATGGTAATGACGGTGGTAATACAGATGGCGGTGATTCCACGGATGGCTCTAATGCCGGTGGGCAGCCCATCATAGTTACGTCTGATGAGTGTCCCGTAGGACCAAACAAGACAAAGCCAATCGGTTGTGGTAAGTTTTTAATCCGATTCAGATCTTTCAAAGTCTTTGCTCAACGACCATATAAAAGAGTTAAAGCTGATTGTAAATCTCTTAATCTCCGGTCATCACGCAAATATAATCAGGCCGATTTGATTTTGACATTGGTTTGTGCAAAAATGAACCATTTTAGCAAGACTTAAGATTCGACACCTACTAATATTGAATGTTATTTTCTTAGATGGAGGACCCGTTCCAGTAGGCTTCCCAGGTATAGCCGGGCCACCCGGTAGAGATGGAAGGATAGGACCAGCTGGACCATCAGGACAAACCGGACAAACAGGTACGTAACAAGCACTAGCGTTATTCAATATTAATAAGAACATTTCGCAATAATTCTAAAAATGTGAATGAGGTCGAGTAAACTTACAAAATTGATCTACTTTGTCCTCGTGATAATAATATTTGATTTGATTGATAAGTACACGACCTCATTGGTCTGCTCTTACTGAGTTGTATTACATGATGCATTTTCCTTACTTCTAGGACCCCAAGGAGCCGATGGAAAAACTGGTTCAACAGGTCCAACTGGTCCAACTGGAGATCAGGGAGCCACTGGTGTCCAGGGGGAGAAGGGGGATGCTGGTGAGACGGGTGCTACAGGTCAAACAGGCCCTCAGGGTATTCAGGGAGCAGCAGGAGAACGAGGTTTCCAAGGTATACAGGGTCAAACTGGAGCCACCGGAGCACGTGGACAGACTGGATCAGTTGGGCCTGCTGGTGCCAACGGAGCTAATGGATCACAGGGTGCACAAGGTGGTGTTGGTGCTCCTGGAGCTCAAGGTAACCCTGGACCAAGAGGTCCTGCGGGAGTACAGGGACAACAGGGCGTACGTGGACCAGAAGGCCCAACAGGACCTCAGGGAATACAGGGAGAAACTGGTGCTACTGGAGGCAGAGGTAACCAAGGTAGCCAGGGAGATCCTGGACCTCAGGGAGATCAAGGTGATCGAGGTGATACTGGAGCTACTGGTCAAACTGGACAAACTGGTCGCGATGGTCAAAGAGGACTTACTGGACAGCGTGGACCAACTGGAGCCACAGGACAAACTGGAAACACAGGATCTCAAGGTCAACGAGGTCTAACTGGAGCTACTGGAGCAAGAGGATTTGAGGGAGCAACTGGCATAACAGGCCCCGCCGGACCCACTGGTCCAGAAGGACAAGCTGGACCGAGAGGAGTCCAAGGAATAGCAGGAGCAACAGGCCCAACTGGTGCACAAGGAGAAAGAGGACCCGCTGGTCCCATTGGATCAACTGGTAGAGATGGTCTCACGGGATCAACAGGAGCTAGAGGACCACAGGGTGAAACTGGTGCAACAGGACAAATTGGGCGCACTGGTGAAACTGGTGCTACGGGGCAGGTAGGCGAAACTGGAGCAACTGGTCCTTCAGGCCCACAAGGAGACAGAGGCGCTACAGGCCTAATAGGTGCAACTGGAGAAAGAGGTGTGCAAGGCCGCTTGGGGGCTACTGGACCCGCAGGTAATGATGGTGCAACAGGCGCTACAGGTGCAAGAGGAGAAAACGGAGCCACTGGAGCCACTGGTCCAATGGGTGGCACTGGAGGTACTGGCGCACAGGGAGCCACTGGAAACGCTGGAGCAACAGGAGCAAGAGGGCAAACAGGATTAACTGGTGCCACTGGAGTTCAAGGGGAAATCGGTAAAACAGGAGCAACAGGGCAAACAGGAGGCGTTGGGGCTACTGGTGCACGTGGATTCGATGGAGAACGTGGACTTCAAGGATACATGGGAGCTACTGGTGAACAAGGTATCCAAGGTATTCAGGGTGTCATGGGAGCCACTGGTCGCGCTGGACCAACTGGAGCAACTGGACGCGTAGGACCTGCTGGACCACAAGGTGCTCAGGGAGATGTAGGTTCCACTGGACAACAAGGAGAAAGAGGAGATACTGGTTCAACTGGAAGGGCTGGAGCTACTGGTCCAACTGGTCGATCTGGACCTGTTGGTGCAACTGGACTCGTTGGAGCAACTGGTTTAACTGGAGCCACTGGAAGGCAAGGTAATGTTGGGGAAACAGGAGCCACTGGCGCGCTAGGACCCAGAGGTTTGACTGGTGCTACAGGAAGTATGGGTGCAACAGGGCCAAGTGGGCGTACTGGGCAAACAGGAGCAACTGGAGAAAGAGGTTCGTTAGGTTTAACTGGTGCAACTGGACCAAGAGGATTCCAAGGAGAGCAAGGTATTGCAGGTCCCAGAGGTCAATTGGGCTTAACAGGTTCTACTGGTCCAACTGGTCCACAGGGAGAACGTGGTTTTCAAGGAGAACAAGGACCGCGAGGATTTGTGGGAGCTACAGGAAACCAAGGTATTCAGGGTATTCAGGGAGAAACTGGGGCAACTGGACAAATAGGGGCAACAGGACGATTAGGATTAACTGGCGCTACAGGGCAAACTGGAGCCGCTGGACAAACAGGAGCAACAGGTGCACAGGGTATCCAAGGAGAGACAGGATCAAGAGGTGACACTGGGCTAACTGGAGGAACTGGTGCCCAAGGTATCCAAGGTGAAACGGGAGCAACAGGATCACGTGGTATTCAGGGACCTGCCGGTGCAAGAGGACCACAGGGTGCTCAGGGAGCAGCTGGTGCCACTGGAGTTCAGGGTGAAAGAGGAGATACCGGTTCACAAGGAAATCAGGGAATCCAAGGAGAGCAGGGTATTCAGGGTGTACAAGGAGAGACTGGATCCACTGGAGTCAGAGGTTTAAGAGGTGAAACTGGAGCCACTGGAGTCAGAGGACCACAAGGGACCGTGGGTGCAGTTGGTGCTACTGGGGCACAAGGAGAAACAGGTGAATTGAATTCAAATACCACACGCGGTAAAATTGACAAACCTAAAATAATATTGCTCATTATTATACGTAGTCAGATCTTTGGGAAAAATAACCATTTCCTATTTAGTCCTTTAAACAAAAGCAAGAAGCAACTTATAATAAGCAAATGCCTTATATCAAGCAAACAACAAATTATAAAAAAGCAAAAAATTAAAATCAAAACAACTCAACTCAGCTTAACAAGCAAGGAAATGTGCTAATAATAAGCAAACAACTCATAACAAAACAACTGTGATTAAAGGGTCACCCGGTGTGGTCCAAGACATTGACGAGTGTGGTTGCGATAATGGAGGATGTGAACAACTATGTATCAACACCTTCCTCGGTTTCTACTGCGCATGTGAAAATGGATACAGCCTCGATGATAACTGCTTCAACTGCACTAGTAAGTGATTCAATAATACGCCCTCACACCCAGTCTTTCTCAAATACAAGGCTAGAAGAAAATATAAGGTTCGGTAGGGGACTTGAGATTTGATATTACTGGGCTATAGCTCTGAAACGAATGATTTTTGTAGAAAGGGGCTAACGGGATACAAAAGATAATGGGAGTGGAAAGAAAAAAACAATTTAATAATACTGAACGATAAATGGCACTACTATAAATGTATCTCACACCCGAAACGTCTGAAAAGTTGCATATTATTTTCAAATATATTTTGAACAGTACTCGTATTTTGTACTTGATAAATAACATTTGAGCCAGGCCACAGGAAAAGGGGTCTTATCACAGATTTTTCAATATTTTAATTTTTTGTTTATCTTAATTAGCACAAAAAGACCTTTCAAATGAGCCATGACTTATGTCTTAATGACTTTTTCCCTGCATATATAGACCAAAAAGTCGGATTTTAATTTAGCACATTTTCCTCTTAATCTTGGGCACATTTTTGGTTCTGTAGCACAATTTTTTTGTGATAAGACCGGTTTTCCTATGGCCAGGCTCATTTATTGGTATTCATATCCATCTCTAGCAATTGACAAGACATTTTGATTTCTTGCAGACATTAACGAGTGCGAGAGCAACAATGGAGGATGCCAACACAATTGTTCAGACACAGAGGGCAGTTACGACTGCAGTTGCAATGGAAAGGGATTCGTATTGGCTGGAGACCATCACTCATGCTTAGGTTAGTACCTCCATATTTTAGCTATTTCTTACTCTATTTCTTACGCTTTTCCCCAAAACTTGTCTAATAGTAATAGGTCCACGTAGTCGTGCAGGAGGGGTAATTAAATCTAGGTACTCTAGCCTTTAAAAAGTCCACACCCAGGGACCCCAATCATGACAACACTCCAAGTTACCCGCTTTCTAATGGAACAGATCAAAATACCAGTGAACATTTTAGGAGATGAACTTATCATTTGGCCAAAGGAAAGTACTGAATGTACTACAGGAGATAAGATGTTTATATTTTTAACGCAGTGAAAACATTTTTAATGAATTATGGAATGATCGTCAAATGGGGTCCACTTACTGACAGGGAACATGCAATTGAAGTAATCGATAGTAAAGGACATCTCTGGTGGTCCATAGTAATTGGACTAAATACTGAAAAAGGCGGTGACGACCGCACATAGATTAATTTCATTCATAGTTGAACCATTTACTTGTTAGGTAATAACGACAAACGTTTATAATGTTGCGCAGTAAGACATGGATTAGAGAATAAAGAAGCAGATTAAGTGATTCAAACAGTGTTTAGTGTCGTCCATAATTATACAACGCATGATTTTTGTGTACATTGACCATTACTTTTAATAATTTTTCACATTTCGTGCTTACTGTATCTATTCTTTGGGATTTATATTAATGCAATAGTCTTATAAATAAATGTACAAGGTCGGCTCCAGTGTTCGACGTCAATTTCCCAGGGACATGTGCAAAATAAGAATGTTGTGAATTCTGAAGCATTTATGAAACAAGGTGCCCTGCGTGTTGTATTACAGCATCAAAAAAACTGCACAACACATAGTTGTATTGGCAGTGAAAATATAACTTGTGAGTGGCGAGGAGAGGGGGGAGCGGCTAGTATCAGAAACGAAACAAGACTATCAATTTTATCAATCCTTTATTTCAGACGTAAACGAGTGCACAACTCAGCCATGTGAGACCAATGAGTTTTGCGTCAACGGGGTTGGTAGCTATGAGTGCATCCCTGCCTACGATGTGTCCGGAGACAGCAGTAACGCACAACCACAAATATGTAAGTAGTTTCCACCAACACAGACAATGTTTCTTGTGTACGAGAACACACATTTGGAAAGTAGCATAGGGTGTCAGTTTATCTCAATTGGTATTACCTGTGACTTAAATACATAGAAAGGCTAACTATATGAAGATATAAATTATCCCATCAATCAGCAAGGTTTTTTATGCAGAACTGTGAAGAATTGATTTTTAGAGAATTTTGCCCAAAAACGGTTTCTTTAATATATGCCTATAGATGTATGATATAACCCCATACATTGGTTCTTATGAACTTCGTATTTTTGTCGCAAGCATTAATATTTACATACCAATTGCAATTAAATTTTGAGATACTCCATGTGCACCGAAGATCCCCGACAAGGTTTATACACTGAGCCCCGGGGAGTAAACCGCATGGGTATCATCAATGTGTTACTGTGACTTTGTTTTTTTCCAGTTAATGGCAAAAATCAAGCAGAATTCCAAGATGAACTTCAAACACTCGAGGCGCAAATTGGAAGTCAAAATATGACAGTCCAGATCCTCGTGGTCGTGGTAGCGTTCGTTGCCGTAGCGCTGTGCGTTACACTCGGCGTCGTTATCCGACGCTGGAGGAGAACCAACACCGCCAGTAGTCAAAACGGTGATTTATCTAGTGTAGACACTATATCAGCTGTCAGCGACGTGACGGCAGATGATTCAACGTCCCAAGATATTGATGACGTAGAGGTATCAGTAGAGAGAATATAGATGGCGCTGGATGCAACAGTTGTCTACGGAGATGGCCGCCATTAATAATCAGCCAGTTTCGTATTTTGCGACAGACTTTCTTATAATGGTCATTATATTGTCCACCAATGAAACAATAGAACGAATAGGACGATAGTATGTTAATCTGGTTGTGTGACTGTGTTCATTACAATAGATATATATGTTAAATTGTTTGTAGTTGAGAATGGTAACTAGGTGTAGCATTTGCAACTACAACTTGTACATGTAGGATTTATATTCTATCTTTAACCATACGCTAATTTGATAACACTGGTTTTCATTTCCTGTGATATATGTCATATTTCCGGTTACCATAATCATATATTCCTCGAATCTCTAGCTTTACTTGAGACAATGCAAGTTGTATATATATGTTTTAGTCTAGCATCAGTTTTGCATGCATCAATATATAGAAATCACTTAGATGATATACGGGTGTATAGTTTCTGAGGACGAATAGTGTTTTTTACGATTGTATGCTTAACTGAATTTAGGAGGACATTTGGACTTGTCATATACGTACACTCCACTCCATATATCTAGAAACATACCAATTGTTGTGTTATAATTGTCACACATTTGCAACACGAGCATCAACATCTAATGAAGAGAGTGTATTTAGATTAAGCCCCACATTTAGGATAAGGCCTCACATTACTTGAAGTATTATATAAAATACGCCTGTAAATAACGATATGAAATAACATCTTGTATAGGTTTTGCCAAACACTGAATGGAAACTCTGACATGAGAGTCCCCATATCTTCATAGTAACTCGTTCAGTGCGTTTCTGTCCTGATAGCACTGAACAAAATGCTCAGAGGAGGAAAAGTCCAAAGAAGTTCTATAGCTTTTTTCCATTGAGTGAACTCATGGACTTGGGACTTTTTATGCAAGCTCAATTTCGCACTTAACAGTATATAGAAGCATTGTTTTAAAAGCATTAAAAAAGATCAAGTTTGATCTTCAAAATCACTACTTAGTGGCTTTCATTTTTATTATTTGTTAAATAAATAAAGATATATTTCAAAATTGTATTTATATGATACAGATATGTACATTGTATATTAGAATAATATAATATAAAACTAATCATTCCAAATAAATATTGGCGTTGTTATGGAAACCAGTTATTTTGTATGTGTATGAAAATCGTTATGCACGATGGTTACTATAGAGATAGCATATACATGTCAGGAACATGAATTCAAACATAACCATGCTATATCAGAATCTCTCATTCAATTTAATGCAGCATAACCGTTTTTGAGGAATATATCATTAAAAAATCTAAACTTCCAGGAAATATCCCTAAGCACCAATTGTCAGAAAAAATAAAATAATATAAAGAATCACTATTAGTTACATAAGTCACTCTATTAGTTACTGTAGGATACATACGGAGCAGATTGTCAAGAGTTGGATGGAAATTTTGACATACTAATACGTTTTCAAAGAAATGAGTATGCTGGACGATTTGGACAGGTGTAAAGGGGTTGGTGGTCCTATCAAATTTTTGTCCTACTCTCTATTGATTTATATGGTGACCTAATTACAATTATTTTCCTTATTATTTATTTACACAGTCAGGGCCAGTAAGGGCCGTAAGGAAAGGGGACCATAATCCACAGGGGACCATAATTTTTTATCTTGATACGGCCGTGACTCAATAAGCTCATGAACTATTTTAGAACACAAGGACGAGCTGATAATCGCAAGCTTGGCGACACGTCAAAGGCTTTAGAAACGATCATTTGAATGCAAAATATAAGGGGTCCATATCCACTTTCAATAGACCTTAATCAAAATTACGAAATAGGAGTCTTGTGGAGATACGTAATACCGAGTTTGGTAATATTTAATTTATGTTTTCCTGTACCTCCTATAAACCTTACTTAGATACCTCGACACGCTTCTAATATCACCCCATGCAGACAGATCGCCTAAAATTACATTAAAATGTATATGGCCAAAAAGGCCCATTTTTAAGGTTCTACAAAAGATTTTGGGTCCAAGGCCCTACAATTTTTTTCTGGGCCCACAAAAGGGTGGGGACCGGGACCCATGGGCCCCCTGGACCCGCCAGTGATATGTATATTCAATGCTAGGTACATAATGGATAGATATGCATTTTTTGATCAGTTATGTGCTATGACTGGTTTTAGAGGGTCTTCAGGCCAAAAGAAATGTACTGGTAGAAATGGTGATCAGATTTTCAGAATTTGGTTGTATTGTACTTTCTGAACCTTGGTTTTGATAATCTGTAAATCGTATCATTTCGTCTTACAGATTTTTGCTTGCATACTGTACATATTATGTACAATGTTGATCCGTGCACGGACATTTTATAGTTAGCATGATGTTAATAAAGGATTACACCATAATAATAATTGGGTATAAACCCTTTATTGTTTGTAAAAACAAATGACGATGCAGATGAAACTCAATGAGCGTTGAATAAGCCACATGGTGAACAGAATCACACCCTTGAACAGAATACACTTTTCGGGATGGAAAATTCAAAATGGCCACCTTAACATTTACCCAGAATGCCGAAAAACGAATGAGTTATAAACTCTCATAGTTTAGTTTCTAAAACTATACACTATAGGTAGAAACATCCCTGAAAATTTCAAATGAATCCCTCAAACGGTTTGGCTGGAAACCTGTAGTCAAGCCTTGACAGACAAGATTTTAGGATGGAAAATCCAAAATGGCCGTCTTAACATTTATGCAGAATGTCGAAAAACTAATCAGTTCTAAACTTTCATAGGTAGAAACATCCCTGAGAATTTCAAATGAATCCCTCAAACGGTTTGGCTGGAAACCTGTAGACAAGCCTTGACAGACAAGATTTTAGGACGGAAAATCCAAAATGGCCGCCTTAACACTTACCCAGAATGCCGAAAAACTAATCAGTTTTAAACTTTCATAGGTAGAAACATCCCTGATAATTTCAAATGAATCCCTCAAACGGTTAGGCTGGAAACCTGTAGACAAGATTATTCGGGACGCCCGCCCGCACGGCAAACTGATTACAATATAGCACCTTAGGGTGCGATAAAAATGGGTGCTAAAGGGGTTATTTAGATTAAACTTTCAAAACGTCTCATTGGCCATTGTTATTGTTTTGTTTTGTGTCAAGAAGCAAAAATCTGTGAATCATGGGATACATCTTATGGTTTTAAACACGTATTCGAGGGTTTAGTGAATATTTACCACTGGCTAGTATGTAGGTTCATCCTCGCCATTGGTTACATTAGTACCGATTTTATTTTGACTGGAAACCTTGAATATCAAAGTAAGTATGGAATACCCATCGTACTTTGTAACTTACTATAAAGCGTACACGTAGATATGAGTATTTATCTGCAGATATCGACGAGTGTCCATCGGGAAATGGCGGTTGCAAACACAAATGCGAGGACACAGAGGGCAGTTTCGAGTGTTCATTGATTGGATGGCAAGGGATACCAATTGGCGAATGATCCCACACATGTATAGGTAAAATAGGTTTTAGGGCGATATAAAGATGGCAGTACAGTGGTGTTCTGAATAGATTATTGATTGCTCTGCCATCTTTAGCTGAATGTCATTATTATCTCACTCAGCTCAACAAATACCCGGGGATTTGTCGTTTGCCAAATTACCTACTTAAAACTTTTTGCCTTGAGTGAAGGAAGTTGACAGTAATTAGATGATCGAGACAAGTTGCTTTTCACTACCAACAAAAATCAATTATTGTAGTTGTACCATACCCATTTTTTTCCGATTTACATTTTTGGTGGCCACTTTTATTCGAGCTTTAGTTTGGTATCTATAACATGATATATTTTACATAATAGATTGGAACACCGAGTACGTTATTAAATGCCGCAGTTACGGATTCACGTGCATAAATATTTTTTCACACACGGCAAACTTTCTTTGGCCCGCTCCATATAATCAATAAGTTAATGTATCTTTTACTGTGCCAATGTTCCTGAAGGTTGAAGGTCTATCAATTTATCTTTTATTTCAACATTTGAAATAAATAATATAAAAATTGTATTTATACTGATTAAATGGTGCGTGCTGTATTATTTTTATATCTTTTATATGTGGTATAACAAAAATCAAATATTCAATTTTCAAAAATAGGCACCTTTATTGTTGAAACATAATGATAAATGAAAATTCGATTGTAGTACATAGGGATCATATCACGTTTTTCTAAAGAATTCCTCAATCAATTATAAATATGCATATTTATCTTCCAAACATAGGTTTGAAAACTTTTACTGAAAAGTTTCACTCTACACTTGTAGATTCAAGATTTGGAGCGATAGCCATGGTGACCTTCAACAGTGAGTAGTTCTCATAACCGGGGATCGTTCTCCAACTGATACATTTTCTTCCAGGGCATTTTGGCCAGAATCTTGGATGCGTTACGTATCTGCCATTCAGATTGGCCCAGAAGCAATTGTTATACCACCAGCCAGAGTTATAGCGCTTGAAACCCAAAAATTACATTTGAAAGCAGTGTGAAATTAAAGAACGCCAATTGGTGTAAGATATTTATAAAAGCGAACGAACCCAAGGTGACATTTATAGTTTTAAATGGCAATGGAATTATTGAGTTTATTTCCATGATGAGAGGGTCATTTTGTTTTATTTTGCCGATCCCTTATTTGAGAATTTGACTAGCTCAATGCATTCTTGGTGACCATTCATTTGAAGATGGGGTCAAGAGCATGGACGGACCATTCCTTTAAATTCTATGCATACTTAAAACATTATCTAAAATCTAGTATTTATTAACTTAATTTAGTTGAGTAAGTACTATGTTTTCCTCATGCAGAAACTTACACGATCTATTTTAGGCCTCTATCAAAAGTAAGGTAGCAGTATTAAATAGTAATCATTACCTCGGCACAATTTCCAGCCCAATTATCATTGTCTCGGTCACGTGTTGAAAACTTCTGTCCATTAGACATACCTCCGCAACTTGACCCTCCACAATACGACAGAGCATCACCTAAAGTAAGTTCATAGGGCATCACTAAGTTTCGATTTTTATCGATATTTTCAATGCTTATAACACCCCACTATGAGTGCCCTGGTCTCCCTAATAACCCAGATGGCAGTAGGTAGTTACCAGTTTCACCACCACTAGATGACCAATTTGGGTCAAATAACTTGGCAGATTAGAAATCAGTGCTCTTATACTTGAATATTCATCACTTTATGTGGATCAATTATCATATAAGCCTTATGTGTCTGATGATTATACTGAAAATATATTATGTAAACATGTCCAGTAAAAGAAAATAAGAAAACGCATATCCCGATAGAATCCCAATACTTCGATGATAGACCTGTGTAAGATTATTGCCAAGTACCTGCGTTTCCAGAAAAGCCTTCGAGATGAAGTCTGTATCCGTCAGCTTCGTTACCAACATAGAAATGATCGTAGTTAGCTTCATGAACACGGTCAGCAGCATCTGTCATCTTTATATTTAACTTGTATCTATGAAAGGTATCATGATACTGTAAAATGTGCTCTGAGACACACAAGTGCTAAGTGACATGTGCTCTGAGACACACAAGTGCTAAGTGATGTGCTATGAGACACACAAGTGCTAGGTTTTTGTGCTCTGAGACACACAAGTACTAAGTGATATGCTCTGAGACACACAAGTGCTAAGTGACATGTGCTCTGAGACACACCAGTGCTAAGTGACATGTGCTCTGAGACACACAAGTGCTAAGTGACATGTGCTCTGAGACACACAAGTGCTAAGTGATGTGCTCTGAGATACACAAGTGCTAAGTGACATGTGCTCCGAGACACACAAGTGATAAGTGATGTGCTCTGAGACACACAAGTGCTAGGTTTTTGTGCTCTAAGACACACAAGTACTAAGTGATATGCTCTGAGACACACAAGTGCTAAGTGACATGTGCTCTGAGACACACAAGTGCTAGGTGATATGCTCTGAGACACACAATTGCTAAGTGACATGTGCTCTGAGACACACAAGTGCTAAGTGATATGGTCTGAGACACACAAGTGCTAGGTGACGTGTGCTCTGGGACACACAAGTGCTAAGTGATATGCTCTGAGACATACAATTGCTAAGTGACATGTGCTCTAAGAGCTATACACTAAGTGACATGTGGTCTGAGAACCATGTACCCCGGTAGGCATGTGCGCCGAAACACAAGTTCTAAGTGAAACGTGTTCTTTGAACGATATATCCTGAGAGGCATGTACTCTGAGACACATGTGGTAAGTCACTTGACCTTTGAGAACCATAGACACTGAGGGGCATTTAGTCTGAGACACACGTGCTTGGTGACATGTGCTCTGAGAACCAAATATCCCGAGAGGAATACGCTCTGAGACACATGTGCTAAGCGATGAGTGCATTGAGAACAGCTGATTGGGAACCAAATACTCTCAGAGGCATGTTAATGTTTGGTGGTTTCTTTTAAGCCTTACAATGGGGGAGGGAGGGGGTAGTTGTCAAACTTTTGTAGGGGGTGTAAGATCTTAAGAATGTGGAATTAGAAGTGAATATCAAAGATAAGGTATGTGATCTTACTTTTTTTGATTGGTTAGACGATAAACCTTCTCAAGGCCCAGCCAGAAGTCAGTACTCATTGAAAAATTCTTTCCAAATCCATTTTTATAGTCCTCCCATAATCTGTTGAATATTTCTCGTCCATTAAACCTAATCGAGCGAATACAAAAATAACATCAATTGTAAAATATATGTGAAATTCGTGAACAAAGATTGGTTGCATTTTTGGGGATCTTAAAGTAAGACACAGTACTCGTGAATGATTGAATTTGTAATGAAATATTATGCGTAGTTTTTTAAATACATAATATATTGTTTGATATGTCATGCATCATACCTGTTCTGTATAACGGTCCATTCTCCTCTGCAGAGTACATTAAAGGGTTCTGCTACACCCTGAGGCTGGATTCTTCTTACTGACACCATGTTTCCACCAAAACTGGCGCAATCGGCATTTTCTGAAAATCATTACCAATAGTGATGTAGTAAATAGTCGTGCAGATCGGAACAAGGCCGATTTATGTCGGCCATAGACGTAATTATCAAATGGTAAATGTTCCAAAGTCCTTCTCCGTAATGGCATGTTACAACTTACAAAACCTGAGGCCCAGGAATACGTTAAAAATGTTTAAAATGTTCGCTATATACTGAGTTGTTAATGCGTGGTGTATACATGTATATAAATTACTTACATGTATACGAATAAGACTGATTTTTATAATGTTAATGGATAAGAATAAGACTGATTTTTTATCAATGACAGTATACCCGGGCCTCAGTACAAAACTAACCATAATCCATTACTAGTTTGGTCCAGTGTAAATGCTCAGCCCCGGGTATTTTAATTTACCCTTGCTATTGAAAGGGGATGAGATAACAGGTACATGTAAGTAAAAAGGCACGGGTGTTACCCTTCTTTTCTGATAACCTATCATTTTAAAGATCCACTGACTTCATTCAGTTTTAATAAACCTTTGGAATATTGGCATGACAAGCTAATTCCACACTTGCACTTAGTTATATTGTTTTTGATTGAATTCACAATCAGGCCTAGGAAATTGAACGTCTTCTCCTTTAGACACATAGTCACTAAATATAAAACGCATTAAGCACATTATTAAGTCAATTTCGGGACAATGTAGTAAGTATTAATTCATGATTATGGTAAATTATGATTATTATTTCGAAATATAAATTAATCGTGGATGCATAAAAGTGGTGAAACTTATCTTTGACTTATGATTGATGTTACAATAATTCGAACAATTATACGTGAATTAATACCAACAATCATGCATTATTAATAAAAATATTTTATTCATCTTAACAATCTTAACATCACAGAACATCTTGTCGTGGCGGATCAGACGACCAAAAATTTATTGAGCCATAGAAATCTAAAGTACAGTATAATTTGGTTCGGGCAATCAACCATCATGCACTGGTACTTGAACGAATTTATAAGTCGCTTTGAATCCGTTCCCATCATATTTATCATCGGATTTAAATACGCCCTTAAAATGCCTCCCTGCAGATCTGGTTGTAGGAGGTTTGAAAACACCGCAGTAACGAACATTATTCTCGTCATTGAGGTCAAGGTCACCAAATTCAATGTAGTCACTATGTGTCGCTTCGCTACACCTAGGGATACAATGAGTCATTCTCTTATTTTTAATCATAGTATTTTAAATGTCTGCCGTTAGGGTTTTGTCACTTTAACGAAAATTTTAGCAATAATCATTTGACTAGCTTTTAAAAACTTCGATTCCTTATAATTTTTAATACTAACGAGGGTAATATTCCGTCGATATCAAAAGCTCTGTCAAAGCTAATTTCCACTCGTTCTCCTTCGACACCCTCAAATACATATTGGCATTCGGTGTTTCTCGGATATTTGTTCGGGTACCTTGGTGACGCAAATGTTCCAGTTTTGCTTTTGCTACTTTTGAATATGAATGTTCCACAGCCTGAAATATCAAGTTAATTAGAAAATTCATTCTCACAATAAGGTATGCTTCCAGATGTGCTATTATGATTTCAGCCCTATCTTACAGATTTCAGGTTCTAGCCTCCACTACAACACCCTTATATTATTATGTAAGATTAAATGATAAAATGGTAATCACATAAATTATTATATGAAATTTCACCTTTAAGTGTAAAATTGTTGCAATATAACACACTATATATCAATGTTATATATCATTGTGGATTTTGGACTATTAGGCCGAAAATTAAAAATGTAATAGGGCCTAAATGTGCATCCTCCGATCGAAAGGCTCCAAGTTTCAGAACAACTTCGTTTTCTTTCGAAGAAGGAGGTGCGGATTCTCGACACATGCTTTGGAGGATGCGAATATGTGATCAAATATATAACTTTCTCAATAGCCTAAAAGAAACAACACAAATCAGGGTTTTATATTAAGCCATTGTTGCATTTATTAATATTAAAATTATTTTAAACATTCAAAAGAGTACAGAATACATAAACAATAATCCTGTCTTGGATCATGTTAAAACCGGACGCATGTAACGACAAGGCTTTATGGTTCTCTGGATCTTACAAATCCCTGTTACGAGTGAATTTATAAGTCGCGCTGAAACCATTTCCATCGTATACATCATTCGATTTGAAAAGCAGCTGTAGGTAATTCCCGTCTGATCTGATTGGGCTCGGTTTGAATACGCCACACATGCGTTGTGCCCCCCTGTCGTTGATATTACGGAAGTTGCTATACGTCAAGACATCGCTCTGTGTGCTCTCAGAGCATCTGTAAAGCAGACACTTAGTTAAACACACACAACCTTTTTGTAATCGTTTGATTTAGATTTAGATTGCGAACTTCATTTATAATAGTAGGAGCTATATTTTGTTCATCCATATTGTTCAACTACATATATACTTTGCAATATTGACATTATATTTGGCCAAGCTGTATGAAACAGAATGTATGATATTTATTATAAAGAAAATGAATAAGGTTCAGAGACTAGGAGGTAGTCTACATTCGTATATATCATATGATAGATACATTCGAATTTCGAGTCATTGTTTAATGAATAAATATAATGGGATTAAAATCCATAGAAAGAACATTACAAATAAATCTAACAAATGTATACTACTTACTGTGGAGCTATTCCCTCGACGTCAAAATCTTTGTCAAATTCAATCACGACATACTCATCTTCAGCGCCGAAAAATTCATAATTACACCTTGTATTTCTTGGATATTTCCTCGGATAATTCGGAGACGATATTTTCCCAGTTTTCTTGTCGCTAGTACTCTTGTAAATACCGCATCCTTAAGAAACGTCAATGAAATATTTCATGTTTACTTTTATTACTTCTTTTAATTACTTTTTTATTTAGAATTATTGCTGACTATAACACATTATTTGCAAGATTGCGCCACTGTTGCATTCGGCAGTCGACATAATTTGTTAGCAGACTACAACGACAACGTGATTTGTGTAGATTCTTGCGCATGTTTATCAGTAAAAAAATCTCAGACGTTTGAAAATCGAAGGACGGATAAAACCGCTCGTGTAACCATGCGCTCTCAAGTGTATAAAACTGATTTACACATATTCCTTAGGGTGCTATAATGCTAACAAGTAGGTTGCATGTTTTTTTTATATAGCGCTACATAAATATAGCCATGCATGAATAGTGCAGGTCGTCCAATATTACCATCCCAGCTATTTAACCATATGACAGAAGTTTTTTAGTTTTCATATTTTAAATATGTCATTTGCGCAAATAAATTCCACATGTGCTTATTATTTCATTATTATACACAAAATGAGTCTAGCAAAACCGGAAATGGGAAAAGATACACCATACTAAATATACATAAATATTCATTATTCTCCAGGCATAAACTCCATTCGAGGACCAGCCTCTGTATAAAATGAATAAAAACTGAATGTCAAGGAGAATGTATGCTTATTGGCTTACCTCCATATGTCTCTGTTGTGGTGGTTGGTGCCATGGTTGTGGTGGTGGTGGTTGTTGTAGTGATCCTAACAGAGCAGTCATCACCCTCCCAACCTAACGAGAGTAATAGTGACTTAGGTTTATGGTAGGGGTAGTAGCCGGTACAAGTATAATTACAGTATAGCATGAGTAACTTCTGACTTTTCATTAGATTTTTTCTCCTATCACAAATTGTGAAATAAGACACGGAGACTAAACTACGTCTTTTGTGTTCTAGTCTATTGAACAACACGAGATCATAATTCATTCCTTTATTAGCAATTTATCTGATTGACTACACTGGAATTAACACGGAAATTAACATTGCATTATAGAATGAAGATTTATCATTATAGACATAAGGAAGGCTTTTGACAAAGTTTGGTCAAAGATGTTAATTGCAAAATTGTGACATTTGGCAGCTGTAAAACCTATGACACTGAAAATAAAGCCATTTATCAAATTGATCCAAAAGAATTTTAGTAGATGATAGTTTATCTGTGTTGCTTCCTGTAAAGAAATGAGTGCCTCAATGCTCAGTCATTTGGGCACTTTTATATTTTGAATTTATATAGGACTCAGACAAATACTTTATTCTAGTAAGATGAACACTTTCGCATCCTTCACAAGTGACATTCCAAAAATCCAGATGCAAGTGGAGTATCACCTCGGTAGTTACCGAATACTAGTATGGAATGAAATATTTGTTCATTGTAATAATGATCATTTTCCTTTGAAGACTATCGTTCGACGAGAATTCGAACAAAGGTCAATAAATATCATTTTTCAAATACACCATGTACTTGGGGTTCTACCCTACAGATTGATACATTGGACGATTCGTTTAAGTAGTTATACTTTTGAGCCCTTACCTTCAAAACAGACCTTGTCACCATTGGAAGAGTCGCAGTTGTAGTTCCCCAGACTCGAATCACAGAAGACAAGGCAGTTAGGGCCATAGAAATTGGCATCACAAGTCACTGATATACCCAATTCTATACTGAAGTAAACAAATATATGTAGTTAATATAGCTAAAGGAACAAACAAAATTACTAAAAACTCAGCTTAGAGATAGAGAAAAGGAACATTTGAATCAGAATCGATCATATAGAAACATCCCCTAGATCACAAGAAGGATTGACTCCCAGATTGAAACTCGATATTTTCAAACAATGAAAACGTCGAAATGTTGTTATTTTCTGAAATTATTACCGACTATAAATTCAAAATAAACAGTTCAAAAGATTCGAACTAATATCTCGAACATTTCTTGTGAGTTTTGGAATTTTTCGATTCGAATTCGGAATTTTACGATTCGAATGTTGAAGTGAACAAAATGGCGGCGAATTTTGTATCATGACATGCCCGTATATGGTACAGAATATTGATGTTGCAATCTGGGAGTATGGCCTCTGAATTGGACATGTAAGCTATGAAAAACGCATATAAATCTAAACAATTTTCTATTGAGATAACCAGTGAATGTAAAACAAAAGAAAGAAACAAACAAAGAAAGAAAGAAACAAACAAACAACCAAACAAACAATCAAACAAACAAACAAACAAACAAACAAATACGTTGCTTCCTAAGCTGGCTATACAAATGGTCTTTTCGTATGTTGTAAAACATAGAGCTTTTCTTTTTTTAATACAAATGGTTCTGTCAATCCTTTTGAATGTTGTTTATCCCAAAACTCTTTCTTTCGATGAAAAAGTTCGGCCAACTTTTCTTTATCTGCCGTGTTGTAATGGTTGAGGTGTATACTTGGTAGTTCACCGTGTGGTCTTTGGCGGACAACGTCCCACAATATTTCCATGTAGCCAAACTTTGGAGGTTCGTCAACAAGAACGAAGAAATATTTATCGGGTCTTAAAATCATTTCATGTATAATTGTTTCAGTGGAAATGAGTATGTAAAATGGGTATTTTTCTTTAAATTGTGTATGCTTCACTCCAGCTTTTACTGCTAGTATTCCAGTGACAAACACATCGTCTATCCAGAAGGAGGGTTCATACAGCGACGCGTTATACAATGCTTTTACAGTTGACATCGAGTATACAAAGGCTAAACCATTACAAAATGGTGGATAGACGTCTTTTGGATATTCATCTTTTGTTACGTAATTTTTACTTATTCTCGACCTTGCAGGCCTACTGTGGTTTCTCACAAGACAAAGTAAGAGATCGTTTTTCAATTTAGATTTCTCTATGGTTGACAGGTATTTAACCAGAGGTATTATATTCACGAATACATCATCGTCAACTTTCAAAATATATCTAGCATCTTTACAGAAGTTTTGGACCCATTTTAGAGCCATTATTGCTTTCAGAGTTAAATTCCTATAGGAATCAACAAAGTTCTCTTGTATTATATCACGATGTGCTTCACTTTCTGACTGTAGTGCAATATTGACTTTGTCAATATTGGGGTTTCCAAGAACGAAAACGAGTTTGATATTAACACCATCAACTTCGTTCACACTTCCCCATGTTTTACGAATCAGATCTCGTTTTAGAGAGTTTTTTGGGCTCGTATGAACAACAATTACCAATTCTGTTTTGTTTTCACAAATACTTTCCTCGTTTATCATGTATGCATAATTATGAGGATTGATGACGGGCTTGCGAATGAGTCTCGCATTGTTATGATGGATGACGATCGGACCTTTCTGTATTACAGGCTTGTGAGTGAGTCGCGTAGTGTTACGAGGACTAATGACCGGCCCTTTATGTACTTCAGACTTGCGAGTGAGTCTTGTATTGCTTCGAGGAATGATGATTGGTCCTTTTTGTATTTCAGGCTTGCGATTGCGTGTTGTATTTCTAAGAGGGATAATGATAGGCCCTTTTTGTATTTTAGGATTGCAAGTGAGTCTCGTTGTGCTATGAGAGATAATGATCGGTCCTTTTTGTATTTTAGGATTGCGAGTGAGTCTCGTCGTGCTATGCGTGATAATGATCGGTACTTTTTGTATTTTAGGATTGCGAGTGAGTCTCGTAATACTATGAGGGATAATGATCGGTCCTTTTTGTATTTCTGGCTTGCGAGTAGGTTTCGCAGTGCTATGAGGAATAATGATCGGTCTTTTCCGTATTTCAGGCATACGAGTGAGTCTCGTAGTGCTTCGAAGGCTTTTGATTGGTCCTTTTTGTATTTTAGGCTTGCGAGTGAGTCTCGTAGTGCTATGAGGGATAATGATAGGTCCTTTTTGTATTTTAGGATTGCGAGTGAGACCCATAGTGCTATGAGGGAAAATGATCGGTTCTTTTTGTAATTTAGGGTTGTGGGTGAGTCTTGTAGTACTATGGGGGATAATGATCGGTCCTTTTTGTATTTTCGGCTTGTGAGTAAGTCTCGTAGTGCTATGAGGAATAATGATCGGTCTTTTCCGTATTTCAGGCATGTGAGTGAGTCTCGTAGTGCTTCGAAGGCTTTTGATTGGTCCTTTTTGTATTTTAGGCTTGCGAGTGAGTTTAGTATTACTATGAGGGATGATGATAGGTCTTTTCTGTATTTCAGGCTTGCGAATGAGTCTCTTATTGCTACGATGGACAATAATAGGTCCTTTGTCTACTTTAGACTCGTCAAAGTGATGATTATTTTTTCTCCACGATAAAATTGTATTTCGAGTTGGCTTAATAGAGCCTTTTGGCAAACCAGTTGCACCATAATCCCGCCTTTTATTTCCAACCTTTTTAAGATCTATTCTTGTATCCTTAGTAATCCATATGCTCGATATGCTAGGAGATTGAACTATCAAATCGTCAGGGTCATTTTCCGTGTCGTATTTTATAACTGCATGTTGTTTGGTATTCAACTTTTGATCACTTTGAAACCACCAAAATCCACACAAGATAAGTATATATACGCCGATGATGAGGACGAAATAGTACGAAATACGAGTTTTGAAGGATCGACGCATACTCGCCTAAAATCCAGTAAATTGCTAGTCTGGAGCAATACTTTCTAATATATAGACTGAAATCTCTGAATAATGCAAAATAATCTAATCCGAACATCGAGATCATAGACCGAGGTTTTTTATACAGGCTATAGCCCAAATGTTTTCTTCTAGGCAGAATAGTATTTTATTGTCTTACTAAAATTAAAATTGATGAATACAAATGAACTATGTTATCGAAGAGAGATAAAAATACATGTTAGTCTAAATGTCAGCTATACAACGATATAGGTCGATATCAATTTGATGTTTTGTTATCTTAAACTCATTCTTCTAGGTGGCTAATAACTAATCAAAGGTACTCTACGAAATATCATAAGTATTAATGGAACAGCATTAACATTCTAGTTACATCCCCCTCAAAAGTTTGGCAAAAAACTGGAGGTTTTTCTTTGGACAACCTAAATCTACTTCAACAAAGTTCACACAAACAAAATGTAAGGTGTATAGGGGAGAGGGGAGTGTAATTTGACTGAAATGTAGTAACATGTAATTGCCCAAAAATCAAAATAATTGTAAATTAAACATTTTTGAAATTAAGTCTCTTCAAGTATACATACGTTGTCCTGCCGTTAACTAACATATTACGGTTAGTGGCTGGTGCCGGTTCATTAAATGCATAAGCGATCGTATCCACATGGTCGTTCCGGTTAAATAAGAAGTTGGAGTCGTCATCCCAGACGTCAATCTTCACCAGAAAACCTCCCTAAATTATTAAAAGAAAATATCAGAGCAAAGCTTAATGCAAAACTCGGAACGTGCCTCGTTCGCCGAATGCTGTCTGCGTTGGCCATTTTATAGCGCAGACTCTGATATATTTATTTATAAATTCGTTATAGGTTAATTCATTATTTCACATGAAATTATAGATGTAAGGAAGATGTTCACTTGGACTAAAACTCAAATCGACGCGTTGTGTTGAGAAACTAGATAATGGAAATTCGTTGATAGACTATGACAAACGAAAGTGGTGTTAAACTATGATAAATGTGGCGTTTCTCCTCTTGTTGCAAATCACCACCTTCTATTGGTACCGAATATCATTATTTCTCTGTCTCATTTTACTTGAGGCTGTCAAAGGATTCAATGCATATGAAGTAAAGCGGTGTCCTCCTTTCTGTAGGCTATAGGCCTGACCGGGCCCGGTCGAGTATAGACTAATTAGGAAGAGTTGTAATTAGCTATTTGGCGAGAACCCAAATGAAATCTTTTTTTCATAAAACCATTATAATTTCAACAAAAAGGATTTATACGATAACACTTAATAGGACAAACCGAAAATAAGAAATCGGACTTACGGCATAGTTGTTGAAGGGAATTTCTATTGGATTGGAGAGGCCGCTTATGTCGTCACCAAACTGGATCGTATCTTCATTGGATATTACACCTGTTTCGAACTTGCCGAATGCACACGAGTCCAAATCTGCTGTGCTGAATTGTAAAAAATCACTTGTACATTTTAAATGTTCTATATTATATTATGTTTCACTGAAGAGGTTCATTGGGTAGGTTCTAATTCACAAACTAATTAATTGTCCCTACACTACCCGAAAAAACTTAGCTTGTATTCGCAAATGCAACTAACTGCTGTTTATCCCGTACCAGGACTATAGTCCTGTATGGAGCGCACTCTTTTGCCTGTACGATTACAACTTGGGAGAATTATCTACGCCCCTTACACTTAAGATACCTACCTCAATGCATTATAGAACTCAAAATGTAACTTCTAATATATTGGAACCGCCGATTGTCTGGGTATATCGGCAGAACGGGAACATTTTTCTTTTTCATCGAGAGAGATTCCATCACTTTTCAACATGGCGGTTGAATTTAAAAGGGGAATCCCCCGTATGACTGTCCCGGATGTAGACCGGAAGTACCAATATGGAGGAATTTGACGGTTGAAATAAGTTAAATGTTACACGCAAATATTGCGATCAAAAACGAAAATGTCTTCGTTCTGCCGATAAACCCAGACAATTGTGGATTCAACTACTCGAAAAGAATGCTAAAATACCAAGGAATCTATTGAAGTAGGTATCTGAAGTGTAAGAAGCGTAAAAAATTCTCCCATGTTGTAATCGCACAAGCAAAAGAGTGAGATGTTCACAGGACCATAGTCCGGGAACAGGATAAACTGCTGTCGGCTACCGGATTAACCTAATATTTCATGACCAACTCATTTAAATATATAAAATAGTGACAGGTACTATTCATATTTAAATGTGTTGCCCATAAAATAGCAGGTTAATCCGGTACCCGACAGGCGTTAGTTGCATTTGCGAATACAAGCTTACATTATTGACGTTTCAGCAGCCTACGGAAGTCGATAAATAGTTCTGAAGATGAGATCCGTAGGCTGCCGAAAGTTTTTTTCGGGTAGTGTAGGGGCAATTAATCAGGTCGTGAATTACATTAAGCCTATGCCTATATATTATGTAGAATGCCGATTAGCAATGGTCATTACTTTTCCATGTATGCAGCCCCTATTCTTGTCAGTTCTTGTCCCAAGTTTTTATGACCTCCTTCCCATATATTTCAGACCCTCAAAGTGATCTTTAGGCGGAGGGGTCCAGAGACTTAATGTAGGTACTGTAACATGTCAGAGAACCCCAAGCTGATTTATAAAACAAAAGTAGTCAAATAAACTTACCCATTGAGGTAGTCCACACATATCTTAAACTGATGATCACATTTGCTGGAGCAAATGATACCGCGTCCATCGCAACAATGTCCGTTATCGCCCTTCCCACCGGGATTCACAAATGAGACCAGTCGAAGACTAATTTTACCTAAGGATTCCGCAAGCTGAAAACACAATTAAATCTTAGTCAAGTCTATGTCAATGCATTAGGAATGAGCATTTTTGCAAAAAATGTTAAATCCACAAAACAGCAATATGTTACAAATGTAATGCCTCTGTACCAAATGAATTTGTGATTCAATAATTTTTCCTTTACCTTTAGATGAGACAATTAGGTGAGGCAAATAGGTGCGAAAAATATGCGAGGCTAAAAGGTTAGGCAAATTGAGGCTAAAAGGTTAGGCAAATTGAGGCTAAACGAGCCATTTTATTAACTTTGGACTTTATTCCCACACTTTTAGTTAAGAAATCGTCTGAATAATGTAATATGTACTTCTGTGTACTTTTCGTGAGGCATTTGCCTCGCCTGCCTCATGCCCGACTACGCCCATGACAGCTCAAATTGGCGAGGCGTCTCGGTTTAAGAATACGAGGTATTAACCAGTACTGATAAATTACTGAATACCAACGTTGTTAGATTGGAGTGTAGAGTATTGTAATGTACTCGTACAACGCTAATAAGTACTTTATAATCAAGAAGTTAGATTTTAGGTTTATAAAAAACTAGAATAATTCGCATTCACCTAATTTCTTAAAAGTTCATCACTCACTTTTGAGCAGTGTGCTAAGTCTTCACAATTGGTTCTCTTAAAGTGTGGTTCATTACCCTTTTAATTTTCTTCGAAACCTTGAGTAGACCTGCAGGTGGCTATTGAGAAAATGAAAACTATAATACCGATAAGGTCGTACTAGTCAAAAAATCCAATGACTCGTTAAAATTCTCCAATAGTAATTTTTTGTAACGTTTCGTTTAAAATGTCACCCAGTTTTAACGACAAGTAATCAAATTTTTTCTTGGTGTTATAACTACCATTCGATTAATAATATTTGAATATGAACGGCAATTTCTAAAAGCATATGAACCAACTATTATTCAATCATGTTTAACGAACGAAAAAGTGATGACGCAGTTCAAATGGCATGTTTTTAATACATAA